CTGTGCCTTATGTATCCCAAACCACCCAAAAATGTGGGCGACAGATGGCTATGCTCAGCTGTGTTGCCCTTTTGCTGATCTTAGCTGGCCTTGCACAGATGACTTTGGTCAGCTGGGGAGTTGACCGGGGCTGGCTGACTTATGAGAGCTTCATCAGGTCCAGCTGGGAAGACTGGCACCTCTCTCTGTATGGCAGACATATTTTCTAGCAGACCAGAAAATGTGCTTGGTGGTAGTGGCAGGAGTCACAAGAGAATTAAGAAAGTTAGACCCCCAACTGGTTTTTTGGTTTTTTTTGGCTAATGTTCCATTTGTCAACTCAAGTCAATGGTCACCCAGAACCCTGTATTTAAGGAATGGAGAAATAGATTCTACTTTTAGATGGGAATATCTACAGGATAAAATTGCAGAGCTGTAAATGAAGAAAACTGAAGAACTTGTGGCCATTTTTACATTCTGCCTCACCTCCACTATTGGATCTCAAAGGGAAACAATGATTAACATTAAAGCTTCTAGAATTTTATAACTAGAAGAGAGACATGTGTTTCAAAGTCATTCATAATTTTATTTTTTATTTGATGTATGTTACTAACAGAAAAAAATTCATATTTACTTTCTGTTGAACTTTCATTTAATCTGTAGTTTTATGTAATTCCCAGGTTCAAGTTTTGGCATTTACTGAAGAGTGTTAGTTATTTGTATCATGATTCTGAAAATATATACAGTATTTCTCCCATAATCTCATAGTAGGAGAGATCATGTGAAACAGTGTCATTAATGATGCCAGCTTTTCTTCCTGAATAATTGGTTTGTTGAGTGTGAAATGGACAACTCCAATTCTTAGGTCTTCTTAGTCACCTGCCTTGAGAACTTTAATTACCTCCTCCTTCCACATGATGTCTCTGTTTAGACAGAGTGAAAGAGCTTGAAGGGGCTTTGAAGATCATCTTCCACCTAAACCCCTCATTTTATTTATCAAGAAATAGGCCCTGAAAATTCAAGTTACTTACCCAAGGCCACACAACCAATTAGTGATACAGCAG